TCCCGGGGCCAGCGCGGCTGACACGCAGGATGCCCCACACGCAGGCCCTGACCTCTGGGTGTACTCCTGGGCTCCGCCAGCTCCCCAGAAATACGCTGGAGCAACTGCTGGTAGGCAAACCCGCCCACGACGGTGTAACTAGTATTCCACCACACCCGGGCAGCTTCTGAGGAGAAATGCAGTCCAAACCAAAACACAGATCCAGTCATAGCAATACCGTTTCCCAGAAAATGATGAAGAAGGTGTGTTACCCGCTCTCAGATATATCACAATGACAAGTAAACAGCTGATCTAGCTAATGAACCAGTTACTCTGTTTAGATTGCATCTTTGACAGTGTTTACTTAACATAATTTTATTTGTTCCCAACAAAGACTGAATTACTTCCTGAGGTGGCCGTTATGGATATTTCCTCCTCCAGTCAAGGCAGGGGTAATCAAGACAGAACGCTGCTTTATCAGGGGCTGGACCGTAAAAACTCTTCAACTCCTTTATTGATGCACACACCAGCTAGAAAATGTTTCCGAATGAGACGTCACATGCGAACAGAGGTGGATACAAGGGTTCAGCTCAAAAGTCTCCAAGCGAAAGCCTTCAGGCTTGTGAGAAAGGACAGTGATTCATTACAGCACCTGAATAAATGGATACAGCACGTACACTGCAGGACTGCAATACTTCAGTTGTCACCCCAGAACAATCATCTGAAGATGGTCACTGCCCTACACAGCAACACAACCAAAACTATACATTTTTCTTCAGAGGATGTCACTTTACAGGTCTGTTGCCCTTTCCTAAGCAGGAAAAGCAATCTGACTGGTTTTGGTACAAAATGTTTACGGCCTGACGTTTTCTTGGGAGGTATGCAAACAAAATTCCTGAAGAGTTTTCTGTACAGAGAAAAGCCCACGTTGTGTGTAGCAGAACAGATTACAGAAACTTCACCACTTAATAAACTGCGTATCTCTGAAAGAACCGCTATGGCCTATTATCTCAGCAGTAACTGCCAAGACACAGCAAACTGTAACAGCTTCAGAAGACAGAGCATCTGCTGAAAGAGTCCAAAGTCATTTCCAGTTTTCAAAAAGCAAGAATTCTGTCAGCTCGCTTGCCTTCGCAATTATTCAAAGCAGCCCACTGGAGAGGACCAAGATCACTAGTGAACACATCCCCTTTAAGGAAATCACTTCAAAATTTTACGAGTCCAGAAAGATTAAAATAATCTCGACTAATCTTACTTCAAGCAGATCTCCTTAAACCCAGTTACGTTCCACAGCTCTAAAACACCTGGTGAAAATGGAAAAAAAAAGCACTTTGCCTCCTCCTGAGACCCTGGTGTGGAAGGGCCAGGTTATTTGCACCTGACTGCCTAGTACAAGGCCACGGCGAGGCTGGCTCTGCAGGCTGGTTCGCCTGACCGCCTGAAGCATTTCTAGAGGTTACTGAGCGTCCCCTTCAGCCGAAGCTGGAAGCACGGGTCACCCCACCGCTTCGGAGTGGGCGACCCGGCACCATAAACCCAGCGCCTTTCGGCTTCCCACCCGCTGCTCTTAAACGACCTGACCTGCGGCTTCTCCTTGGCGAGACCTGCCGTGGGGCGAGCGGAGCGTCAGGAAGCCGACGCGTGGCAGCGGGGCGAGTGGGAGAGGGTCACGCCGCCGCCACCCTTTGTTGAAGCTCTGGGGGAGACCTGCGCGGGGTACTTACACGCAGTTCACACCGGGGGCGGTTACGTCAGGGCTGGAAAAGCCCCCAGGGGAGACACGGACCCACGCCCGCGGGGCCGCCCAAGGCACCGCCGACGGGGAGGTCCCGGGGAAGGGCCCCCTCGGGGCACCGTCCGCACCCCCGCGCCGGCGGCGGACACCGGCCCGGCCCCACGGCGAGGGGCTGGCAGCGCGGAGCGGCCCGGCCACCGGGGCCCAGCGGAGCGCGGCGGCGCCCCCCCCCCCCCCCCCCCCCCGGCGGCGGCGGCGGGGCCGCGGCTCGGGGCCGCCCGGGCAGGGACGCCGGATCCGGGGGGGAGGGCTGGGGCCGGCCCCGCCGCTCCGCGCTCCCCTCTCGGGCCTGCAGGCGCCGCAGGCCGCAGCCCGGGCAACCGCCCCCGGCCCGCAGCCGCCCCACGGTCACATCCCGGGCAGCGGCCCCGCCGCCCGCTCCGTCCCGCCCGCGCCGCTCCGCGCACTCACCCGCGCCCGTCCCGGGGGAGCCGGCTCCTCGGCGCGGGGCGACAGCGAGGACCAGAGCAGCAGCAGCCCCAAGAAGCTGCCCGCCAGCAGCACGGCGCGCAGCAGGAAGCCCAGCTTCAGCCGCATCCTCCCGCCCGCCCGCTCCCTCCCGCCGCCGCGCACGCAGCGCCCGGCCCCGCGCACCGGCGGGCTTCCGCCCCCCGCCCGGCGCGGCGCGGCACGGCACGGCCCCGCCGCCGCCGCCGCCTCCTCCTCCTCCTCCTCCTCCTCTCCCCCTCCTCCTCCCCCCCCGCCCGCCGCTGCTCTCCGGCAGCCGCCCGCCTACGGAGCCTATCCTCCCGCCGCCGCGGAACCTACAAACTTTTTTTTTTTCTTCCCCCCCCCCCCTCCTTTTTTTCTTCCCCCCGCTCCTCCTCCTTTCTTCCCCCCGCTCCTCCTCCTCCCCCCCCTCCCCGGTAGGCTCCCCCGGCGGGGGCTGCCGCGGCTGCCTCCCCGCTGGGCTCAGCGGCCGGCGTGATGCGGAGCAGGAAGTGGCGGCGGCGGCGGGAGCCGCGGTTCCACGTGGCCGCCCCGCACCGGGGCGGGGGCGCCCGGCACCGGGATCCCGGCACCGGGATCCTAGCACCGGGATCCTAGCACCGCGCCCCCGGCACCGGGATCCTAGCACCGCGCCCCCGGCACCGGGATCCTAGCACCGGGATCCTAGCACCGCGCCCCCGGCACCGGGATCCTAGCACCGGGATCCTAGCACCGCGCCCCCGGCACCGGGATCCTGGCACCGGGCCCCCGGCACCGGGCCCCCGCCGCTGCACCTGCACCCGCGCCCGCCCCGCCTGCACCCCACCTGGAGAACGGGCCGGGGGGGGGGTGGGGAGGGGGGTGGGGGGGGGATGAGAAGAGCTCTAGGCTTTCCTCGGCGGAGTGGGCAGCTCCACTCGGGGCACCGGCTTGTGGGAAATTAAGGTGCAAACGCTTAACTTCAGCGATGGTCGTTGGGTAGCGCGCAGGCCCGGTGATTACTGTGTGCAGCCTGGGCAGAGGGACGCTGAAAAAGAAAAAAAAAAAAAAAAAAAAAAAAAAAGTCAACTGATTTTTCTCGAGGATAGCAGATCAAGTACGAGATTACAGAGATGTTATCAGGCCTTGGCTTGTGTGTACTTTGTTACTAATTTTCTGCACTACAAGTTAGGCATCCTGTTTCCTCCTCTGAAGGAGTCTCACATGCAAGCGCACACACAAGCCTCATAATGTGAACTCTCCACAGAACAAAGCGGTGCAAGAACATTATTTCCAGTGCAATACTTTGGCCTTTTCTGAGTATTCGGTACTATCCACTTGCTTTGATGTTTTTCAGTTCTATTTCTTGTGTGCCCTGTGAGGATATCGGATCCAAGGATCCTGAGTGTTAACGTCCGATGATAAGCACTGTAGAAATAAAACAGGATATTACATCCTGAACAGGAACACTTTGGAGGAGAAAAAAAAACCCCACACCCGTGACCTTTGTAGTTGGACACACCTAGGCACAGAAGTCTGTTTATTCATCTAACTTGTGCTATAGAACTGTATGATTCCCACCCCCCCCCATTCTGTAGGCTCATGGTACGAGACACAGACAAATGTGATGCTTAAAGCATGGGCAGCAGCTCTAATCTTTATGAGTGTTTGCACAGCCCTGTGACTTTCACGGGGTCCCCAGAGGTGTTTTCCCCAAACCCCCTCCCTGTTTGCGGTTGCAGAAACCACACAAACGTCCCAACACAAAGGTTTACGTGGCTTTTTTTTCCAGGTAGATAACAGCACCTGCACAGGGCTGTGAGGGATTGGTTTGTTTTTTTTTTTTTTTTTTGCTGGGAAAGGCACAGAGTTGAGGTGCCTGGCTCTGAACAGATCCTTTGGCTCACAGAGCCCAGTCGGAAAAGGCAGGTTGGGTCTACAAACTGAAACTCTGTAGGCTGTCCAAGAGGTATGGAAACATTCCCCCCAACCCGTTTTCACTGCTTTCCATAGGCCTTATTGCAGCAAAAGGCATTCTTCCCTCCTGTTGTTTTATTCTCTATTTTTGGGATCCCTTTCTTCTGTCCCGTGCTAGTGCTCTGAGCACTCTCAAGAAGAGTGTAAAGAAAAAAGTTGCTCTTAGCACTGCACAGAGGGTACTGTAAAACTGGCTGCAGCTATGTGATATGATACTGCTCTGCTGCTGCTCCTCAAAGCTGAGAGTGACAGGGCCAGGGCCTTCTGTGTGTATTCAGATTTGCAAGGCTGCTCACCAAAACTTTTTCTTTTGAAATGGAGGCTTGTGTTCTGCAGAAATTCATGGGTGAACCATACATCTGTGATTTTCAGAGTGCTGCACACTGGACGGTGACCATGAATTTTGTTGTGTTTTGGTTTTAGATACCAAAAGTCTCACCGTCAGTGAATTTCCCCAGAGAATTATCCAAGGTCAGTGGTTTCTGTCCCGGACATTTTAAAAACCCCTGCTTTTTCCCCCAAAAGAGAAGTAGTTGATGCCCACTGGGAGGCAGTACGGGCCAATGGACAGGGTGTTCATGCCAGCCAGCCCCTCTCTCTGCCACTGACAGGGGACTGGAGAAGGCATCATGTTTCTATTTTACTCTTACAGCTGCCTGCCATGGTCCCTCCCCAACGGGGAGCATCATCCACTTTTTTTTTTTCTCACACACAGGCCATACAGTCTGACTCCAGCCATATCAGGTTAATACTGACTTTGGAAGTAGGACTTTTTTCAGTTTTATCCTCATTAGGAACGTGCTGAAGTTTCAAATTCTGCACTTACAGTTTTTCCTATGTAGTAAAGTGCCTAAAAAGACCTGCAGAACATAATTCTGCTCTTGCTGAATTCATACCAGCTAAGACAGAAAATTAAAACTAAACTTGCCTTTGGATTGCCTCCAGTAACATTCAAAACCACTTTTAAAAGTCTTTTACGACCTGGAGAGGGAGAGAGGGAGGGTTAAACATGAATTTTTGCCTCTCTTAGTTGCAAAATACTGTATAAACCATGATGCTTTGACTACTCAGCCAGCACTAAAACAAGATACAAACCTGACTGTTATTAGGGAGTTAATCAACCTCTGTTAGACTGATATTCTGTCATTCAAACATTTCTAACAGACTGGCAACTGTCACAATGTTTGTAACTATATGTGGACGTGTCTACCGCTTGCTGCACGGAAATAATATGTTCACTTCTCCATATACCTCCAAATAAATATCCAATGGTGTTTAAGTCATTACAGAGCCTTGCTGCTCTTGAACCAGAGGCCTACGATGACCTGGAGGTGAAGTATCCGATTACCAATCCCCTAAGCCCTGCAGTTGCCTTATTGCTGGGGATTTGGGGGATGATGTCTGGAGCAGGGTCACTGGTGGTTGTCTAAACCTCGTGCAGTCGCTCGCATCGGAGAAGCGTCAGGACCTGGATATGCCTCTTCACCCTTGCCCTGAATATTTGGCCACAATAATGCATTCTGCTTGTTTCGTTACCACAATGTTTGGAAGGAAATTCCTATAGATTTTTGTACCTATCAAGTTGAAAGTCATGTAGTACAAAGTTCCGTAATACAACAAACTGCTGTAATGCTTCACTGCACATAACACCCCGCCCCCATCTGCTCATCTGCGAGTTTTTTTTTTATGACAAAACAGGTCTCCTTTGTAAAATCTGCAAGTCAGAGGCCAACTTCTCTTTCTACTGAGTGCAGTGAGTACAAAACACAAGTGGGTTTTTTCATGTAAATAGGTTCTTTGAAATTAGCAATGGATTGTAGACCCCAAGCAATTTCACTTTCCTTAGAAGTTTCCAGATTTAACTACCAACGCTTCATTTAGTACAGTATTTCACTACATGATATACTCTAGGCTTCATGTAATGCCAGAGTTGGTCATGCTTTGATTATGGAAAGCACTGGGAAGTGCCAGCTGGCAGACAGTAACTTGCTTTCCTAAACTGAATACCCTCAACACAAGCAACACCTCTGCTCCAGTGAAAGCTTCCAGCTCCATGCACCCCCTTTTCCCATCCCTTCTGACCTCCCTTACTCCACTGCCAGCACTTCTAAGGCCATTTGCATTGAAGCAGTCATCTTCGAACAAAGCTTACGCAGTTTTCCAGATTGCTACTTTGGGTCTAAGGCGAGCTGGCCAGACACTTAGGGAAAACCCGTGAGGTGTATTAGCGCTACAGCAGATCTATTAGTGCTGCATATTGAAGTCCCGGGGTGTCCAGGTGGAATCCAAGATGCTCCCTTCCCTAGTTTGTACCTGAAAAGGTTGAAACTTAACATGTGGCTGGAAGACCCTGGCCAGATCTACCTTCACTTATGTCAGTCAGTCCCATACTCCCTCCTGACACTGGCCCCAGCACTGTGGGATTTGTGGTGAGATTCTGGAATAATGAGGTGGTTGCTGCTGGGAGCAATCCAGAAGGGCAGAGTTTGGCATACACTACGATGAAGATAAAGCTACGCCCTAAATATTTACAATGTGCGTGTATTTAACCTCAGAGTTGATAAAAAGGAGCTGAAGTACAGGGTTTTAAATTCTTCTTAATTTCTGTGATTGTTTTAAAAGTACTTTAATCAGATAAGTGGCTCTCAGTAATACTTCATACATGCTTTTGCAAATTAGACTGAGATGGGCTTAGTTTTCATTGTTTTGTGTTCATGATCTCTAGTCTTTAGTACCATTCATCCCATAATTCTCATTTATCCTTTTTTTTAAGACAGAGGTTTAGCAATGCGTGTCCTACCAAAAAATATCCTTCAGTATTTGAGGACCTGAATGGATGCTTTTAGCAGAGTACAGTTTGCCTCCTTTGCTTTTCCTGTCACTTTTATGAAGAACGTGTTATGAAGTTCCTTTCCTGTCATTACATTTAGCCCCCATACTCCTGTCATGCCTACTTAGTCAGTTTTCCTCCTGCAATATAACCTCTAGCTCCTCTTCTCTTTTCCCACACAACAGTAAGGGATCTTATTATTTTATACTGGTCTGGATTCTACCTATGTCCCGAAGACTAGAAAGGAAAAATATCTAAAAATATCTCTCTTTTTTTTTTTTTTTTTTTTTTTTTGGCTGCTCTTTCTGGTATTGAGTACCAATCAACATTTATGAACGACATTGTATTCTTAATACTGCTTTTGTCTAAAGAAATTTGACTTATTTTGGATTTGCAAGTCCTCAAAATATCCACACTCTGATAAGTGTCGACAATGCTTGACAGATTTAGATCTCATTAAAATAGTGGATGGGATGGTCTGTTATGTGGGTGTTTCATTTAAGTTTGAAGAGAATTGGAATGACTCTAAGCATGATTTTGCCATGTTAAAAGTAAAATATATATTTTAATTTTTTTATTTTTTTTTTTTTTTTGTTAAGGAACTCTCACCTGTATTTTGAGCCAGATGTAAGTACAAGTAGTCATATATCTCAGGTCCAGAAAATATCCTTTTCCAAGGTGTCATATTTCTGAGCACTTCGAACAGAAATTAACTTGCATCATTTCCTGAATCTAGGGCAGAGAAAATTGAAATAGGTTGCTGCAATTTCTGCTATGCTGAAAAAAATGAATGGTGTCAACACCCACATTTCAGATGCTGATATACTTTCCAAAAAAACTTTTAACGTATAGTAAATTAGTGGAGTTAATTCAATTAAATTGTCAGTCAGAACAAGATCCGCAGTGCATTTGAGGTACAAAATGGAACATTTTACAACTATAAATTAATTATATTTTCATAATTCTGTGGACTTTTACTGTTTAGTGATAAACCCTTGGTAGTCTGACAAATAGCTGGTAACTTGGGTATTATCAATTCAGTGTCATATCTGCTATATCGCCTATAAAACTTCAATAAGTTTGACAGCTTTTTCTCCAGGATATATTCTGTTGTGTTGTTCAAAATTAAACAAAACCTAACTACCGAAGATAATAAACAATTGTAGAGCATTGGATAAGTTCAATAACGCCAACATGCCAAGTTTGAACAAGACAAAGCCCTCTGAAGCTTCACAAACAATTAATAAAAGACACTCAAAAGCTGTTCCATAGAAAAGCGTGGACGTGCAACTGTTACTAGTCTCTAAAACAAGTGTCTTCTGCTGTTCCTTAACTCAGTCACAGGTTAAGTGGGCAAAGTACTGTTTCAGAAAGCGTCGTCTCCCTCATTTTACATAAATACGTAAAAGGTCAATTAATAATTAGTGGAAAAGTCCAGTCCGGTCGATAGGCTTATACATTAATGTTGAAATAGTAGAAACCGAGTAACATCACAGGGATGAGCTGGCCTCTGATTTTCCAGCTGGGGTCCTGGGGCGCCTGGGGACCAGGGAAGGTGTCGGCAGCAGAAAACGACGGCAAGGCTGTTGCCATTAGGCATTTAAAGTTGGCGGCGCAGAGCCTCCATCACAACTTGGTGACTGGAAGTTGAGCGTCTCAGTAGCCAGGAATCACAAAAGCGCTGCCAGGCAGCTCCGAGCTTCCTTACCGCTTCGCCCATTTCTTAAGCTGCCAGTTTGGGGTTACCAGCGGTTGCGAACCAAGGCCAGGGTGACGAGCTGCCTCTTTTCTTACCCAGCCGCTCTTGGGAGAGAAATCCTCAAACGGTAGATTATTTCTATTATGTATCATCTGACACCAAGTTGTATTGATTAGTAATTCAATGAAGTGATTCTATTATAAGGCGCATGTTTTGTGGGAATTGCTTGTGGAATTGCAGGCGATAGCAGCTGTTGGATCATAACACTGAACACATTCCAGTCTCTTACTAAATATAATCATAATGAAACGGATTTCATAAGGGGCTTAGTACAACATGCAGATGCATCATTTTGTGGAATTTTTTTCCCTTTTCTCAGGTCCAAAGTTACATACAGACATTCTTACTTGATATGAATTAAACCATTTCCAAGTTATACAGTTTTAGCTCGGGTATAAATATAGATATTGCTTTTTTTTTTTTTTTTTTTGAGTATATTTTCCATCCTTTCCCCAAACTGAAAGTTAAACAAACAAAAAAAAACCACACCAAACCCAAAACAAAAAAAAAAAACCCAAAACAACCCCAAAAAACATCAAACCCAAAACCCAACAGATTCAAGAGAAAAAATTCCTAGACCTGTCAAAAAGACTTTGAAATAAAGGTGAAGAACTGTAATAAAGTCATCATCTTGTCAAGCTGAACTCCATTGCCTTTTAGTCACCTGTGACAAGTAATAGTGACAATGGCAGGATCTCATCCATCTTCAAATACTGTGGGTTTCCAGATCTCTCAATTCACTGACATTTGACCCCCTTTTTCTAATGTATAACTGCAATGACTTAAAAACTAGTTGGCTGAGTATCCCAATTAAACAAAAAATATTCTAAAATTCCCAGGTGCATACAATTATCACAAAGAATATCTCTAGATTGTACTTTTGTTTTAATACTGTCTTAACTAAATCTTTGTTCTGAGTAACTTGATCAAACTCGAGGACATTCTTTAGGTTTAAAAGTTAGAGTTTACAGAGTAAGTGGGAAAAGATTAATTTAGAGTTTTGTCCTTAAAAAAAAATCAATATATTTCACTGATTGCAGCCTGAAGAGCATGCTCATAGAACAGAAGACTATTCCAATTAACATTATTTCAAATTAAACTGTAGAACTGCTGCTTTATTCTTATTCCCATTTACTGACCCTTTGAGTAATGAAAGCTGCTCCTGTATACCTTAGGCCAAAGTAAAGTTTATTCTATTCCTCATTTACTATCAACAATTTTGACATATTTGTATATATCTAAAAATGAACACAACATCTGTGTAATTAATTGATCCCCCCCTCTGTAATGGTGCTTCGGGACAAAGTAGAAGCAAGGGGAAAACTTCATTGTCTGTTAAAGCATGGTGGCCCACAGAAGGGCTTTTGTAGACTCTTGGCTAACTGCTTGAAAAACCTGGTTGACTTCTTAATAACCTACAAGACACAGGAAGCTAAAACATGTCTTCAGTACATTTTAGATTTAAATAAACAGATTTATAATATGAAAAAAATTAATTTAACAATTTGCCTTTCTGTCAGGCTTATATCCAAATGCTCTCTTTGAACTTGCCCTGCTTTGGTGTCGGGGTTGATTAGCAGAAAGAAGGAGATAGAGGCACTGTTCCTTGTAACATTTAGGTAAATTCTGATACTCTCTGGCGTGTATCTAGGCCACATCTAATTAATCCCAGAATATTCCATCACTGCTGGATTACCTCTGTCAGCTTCTCCCACAGAAACCTGGCAGCAAAGTTTTTTACCTTAGGTGAGGAATTTCCCTTTCCTAAAGGCAAATAGGAGTGTTTTTTTCATCATCTAACTACCTACATAATGTTTAAGCAACAATTTACACAGCCCTTAGGATATAAAGTATTTAGTAGCGGTGAATACCTTCACTTGAAATTAGTGGAATGTAACCACTGATTTAAGCAGAGCCAGGGTTTCACCCCGGTTTGTTTTTAGGATAAAATTACCAGCTATGGCCTTCTCAACTCTAAATTTGATGCTATTCAAAAGAATAACATATTTTTTATTTTTCTAAGCCAAATACAAACACAATGTGTTTAATCAAACTAAGGTCAGAAAATAGAGAATGTCTGCAAAATAAGAATTGCACCTACAAGCCTAATGCAGATCAGGAGACGTTAAGGTGCTAAATTGTATTTGTGGACTTTAAACTGCAGTCTGTAGTCTTCCATGGCCGCTGCTAAAATTACATAAGCAGCTTTCAAAGACACTCGTCACCTTGGGGAGGTGCTTAAATCAAGATGAGCTGTCACTGTGGAGCCATGGATACACAACTGGTGACCACTAAAAAACAATGCAGCACACTTACTAAACTAAAAATACACCGCATCCATGTTCTGTGTATCAGAATAGTGATTCACAGAATCACAGTACTAAAAATAGAGCATTAATTAGCAACACTAAATTTACATGCAGCTATGCAAGGTGCTGGGTGACTCAAGCAGTACCATGTTTGCATTCTGAGCGTAAAGTATCGTGACTTTTTACATCAATCTGCGTACTAGATAAAGCATGTTTGTAGTGCAAAGTCAGATGATTTATTTTGTACCTGATGATAAAATACTAGATGACAAGACAACTTACTACTTGCAGAACAAGAAATACCTGTTATTGGAGATCTATTAATATGCACTTAAAGTATAGGCCAAGAACAGCACAGGTATTTTTATAGTGGGAGAGGTATGTTTTTTAACCCCACCCTCAGCTTTTCAAATTATATCATTACAATCTCCTTTAATTAAACATCAAAAGGATTTTCACTTCATTTGGTAGAGCACTGTTGTCAAAATCCTCATTTAAATGCTTCTACCGATACCTTCAGAATTATGTAATATTACAAATGTAAATAAGATGCAGATTTTTTGCATAATTTTTTCCTTTCCTATGTGAGTTGATTACTAAAGCAGGAAACGTTATTCATAAATGCTTGATACCAACACATTAAAAAAAAAATCCATATTGAAAAACTTTCTTTTTTTTTTTTTTTTTTTTAATTTCATTTGAGAAATAGTCAAATCAGTACCAACCATGAGTTTTGCCTGAGTTAAGATTTACTTGCCCTTCAAATGTACGGTCGTGGGTCAGCTGATAGCTGCATTAACATGCCTCACATCTACATACTGTGCTTGAGAAGTCATCTTATATTTTAGCTCACATTAGAAGCAGGAAAGCAGATTTTCTTAGATGTAGAATGAGTGCACCTGCAACAAAAGTACATATAGATGTATTGCATCTGTGAAAGTTGTGAAATGCTGTTAAAGTGCCAAATCCCACTGTCCTGCGCTTAATGTTTTAGGATGAACCCACAGATAACTAATAAAGTAATGTCATTTTGACAGGTAAAAAATGCACACAGGCTGGCAATGTGGTAGTGATAATGTTCCAAGTTAGTGTAAGCCACCACAGTTCACACTGCTCTTTCACCAAGGTTCCCACGATACCAGACTTCACCCTAGGAGAGGGACTCTCATCTTTTTTATCGTGGCCCATGTTTCTGGCTGTATCCCAGAGCCCTCCGAGGACATGCAGCAACAGCGTGCGCTAAGGCAGGTAGGCTGGATTTTGGTCACTCAGCTCAATTCAGAAGTGAGGGATGAACTAGATTTGTGCAAGTAGTTCTAACAGTGACGGGCTTTCTGATGCTATGCATCAAGTAAGATACCGAAATAAGCTTGATGTTGTGGGACAGAGAACAGCTACTGAGAGCTTATAGCATATTTGTCCTTTTGGGTTAGGGATGTTACCCCTTTGTGTGCTTTGTGTCACACAGTTCAAACACTGTACAAACTGTGTTTTGGTGGTGGTAGCAGTATGAAGACACCAAAATGCTCTCTAACCTTGTCATTCTCCGTCATGTACAATGCCCACCGGGCTACTAAATTTTCACCACTTTTTTCTGACAAGCCTCTCAAATTCATCAGCATCAACTAGCTGAGCAGGTTGTAGACTGTTAGTGTAAGTTACAGTTGTTGGAGTTATCTGTAGTCTTCATATCAGCTTGAGGAGACAGAGAGGTGGGCACTGAAGAAGGGAGTTATTTGTGTGGTTTATATGGGCTCTAAACTTGGAGTGTTACTGACCTGTACACAGCAGAGAAACACAAAGTTGTTATTCTAAAAGTGTATTAGTCACATTAACTTAAAAGTTCTCTACATTCAAGAATCTGGATTTTAGACCATCAGGCATAATTTTCCATGTAATACTTACAGAAGTTAATTAAACACGTAGTTATTGCTTTGCAATCCAGATAGAGATGCACTATTAGTTTAGGCAGGAGTGATCAATGACTTGCACTCTCTTAAATAGTAAGTGCATATAGTACATGTAAAATGCATGCAATTATCTTAAAAAGAGCTTTAAAGTTTTTATGAATGGCTGTAAAACTTGAAATGTTGTTTAAAAAATAGAATAGTTCATTGTACGCCTCCCAGAATTTGCTTCATCTGATAACAGTGTCCTCTCTGACCTTACACCAAATCGTTCCTTTCCTGCTACTGTCCTTTTGTTAGTCTGTCATTCTTTTCTCTCCCTCAAAAAAAAAAAAAAAGATTAAAAAAAAAGATTTTTTTATACAATATAAGTTCCCCATCAGGATCCAACACTGATACCAGGATTTCCAGTTTCCTGGTCAATTATCTGGGTAGAGTTAAATGATTGTCTCCATTCAATTACCCACAGTAATCTCCACTACTAAGGCAAGTGTTTCACCCTGCAGCACAGTGTATGGAGAGGACCAGCGATAGCATCTACACTCACTACATAGACTAAGAAAAAGCCAGACCTTTTTTAAAGCTTCTGCTGTCACAGCCTTCTCCCTGCTACTTGCATGCGTGGGAGAAACTTCTCACAGTGATCACACAAGCCTCCAGCACTTTAGGGTAATACCAGTCTGTCGCTGATGAATCCTGAGACCTGGCATAAAAGACAAAGAATAGGCAAGTGCATTCAGTAAATGACTGTCGTGGTTCAAGAACTTCTGATGGGCAAAGTCCTTAACAAGCACCTTGACCCTCCCCAAGTTTATTGCTGTGAGGTTCCTCACCTTTGCACGACAGCACATGCCTTTGTTACAACAGTCCTTGTATTAAACGTGCCGACACCTGGACTCTAAAAAAGTGGCAGAAATCAAGACGACAAATTTTCATGAAGTTGAACACACCCAACTTTCCACCAAGAATAAACTCAGGAGTTCTGGGGACGATCATCCTGAGGAGTTTTGTACTGAGGTAAAAAAGATGGTGTTTTTTTTGTTTATTTTGACATAATAAAGATCTGGTGTCCATTGCTGATTATCCCACATGTGAAGCACTGTCCCATCCACCTTTTTAAATAAAGTTGCATAGTTAGAGAACAGCATTATGTAAATCGATCTGTACAGAAATGCTTAGCAGTTGCATCTGTTTTGCTTCACTCTCCTGTGATATCGTGTTTCAAATTCAATACATTATTTTATGTACCCTGCTGACAGTGTTTATTTTTATGACCATGAAACTCTCAGTGCTTGTCTATTCTTCCTCCATGCTGACATTGCTCTGAACATGGTGCGCAGTTACTGAAGTAATGAAAATGAAATAAGAGCAATCTTAGAAATGAGTCTGCTTAACATCAGGACAGAGATTCGCTTGCCTTCTGGTTTTGAAATTTCAGCATGCAAAATGCAAAAGGATCCTAGGAGCCCTGCAGGCTTGGCAAAGGAGTACAAAGTTTGGGTACCGTCATGCTGACCTGGTTCAGCTTTTTATCTTTCTCTTCTGTCTTTTTCTTTGCACGCTGTCTGTTGTGTATCTTCGTCCTGTGTTTGCTCAGTGCCTGTCACAGACTAGTCCAGTCTGTTACTGGAGTGCCTACAGGATGGTGCCTCTTAATCCTGGAAGAAGTTGAGACCTCAAACACAGACATGCATGCACATACAGCCTACTCACCCAGGAGTTTCAATGCGTTTTCTATAGATACAAAAATCCTGCAGTAATTTGAAAAGGTGTATCTGCACTAATTAGTCAGTATTGTTTGCATGCCGACTCTTTCGTCATCGCCTCTGACTGCTGCCCCCCCGAGTTTTAACATTCATATAATCCTGCTTCTTTGAGGACACATTTGAAAATGAGTTTCAAACTCACAATCCATCTCTAAATCAGTAATAAATCCTGTGACAATTTTTGTTTTCAGAGAACCAGCTTGCGTAGCACTAATGGAAGCTGTGACTTGCTAAATTTCTTAATTCCCTAAGACCCCTGAGGCTGAAATACCTGCAGCTGTTTGGTACCATTGACTGTGTATTTCATCTCTGAAAATGTAAGTACCTTTTGTGCATCAAATACTATATACTACTTTTTCTGGTTGTATTTTAATAAGCTTTCATCACTACTTTTACCCAATCATTCTTAAGGTCCACAGGCCAGATGCTGAGCATGTATAAATCATGCAGCTCCAAATACATCAAAGAAACTACATTCATTTGTCCCAGGATTTGGCTTTCCGCTTCCAGTTTTACCAGACTTTTCTTCAACTAATCTTGCAAATGCCTTAACCACATCCACTTCCTACTGTACCCCTCTCAATCCCTTTCAATTACCTCCTTCTTAACATATAACCCCTCTATAATTCTTTCCTTTTAAATCCTTTTAAATCCTATTTCCCCCCCCCCTTTTTTTTTTTTTTTTTTTTTAAATTAGTTAATTGTTAGAAGCATTTGTAACTCTTTGAAATTGTACTTCTGAATTCATTGTGGTATGTTGACTCTGAGGGCTAAAGTTTCTAAGCAGCTTTCAGAATAATGAGATTTGTGTGCATGACTCCCTTGCACTGCTTTAAAGATTTACTCTTTAGAGTTAAAAGATCTTCAAGAAATCAGTTTCTTTGTGCTGCTGGCTTGTAAACACTGCTCAGAGCGTGCATCTTTTACAGCACAGTTACCCTTTTCTCTGCTGACTTACTTGCTATGCTTGAGGAGCTTGGAAACATCTACCCTTAGCACACAACTTTATAACCTAAGGATGTGTCATTCTTAGCAGCAGCTGGTAACACTCTGCAGTTTTTGTCCAATTTGCCTCCAGTCTGCAGTTAGCATTTGTATACATAAAATATTTGCATTCCTTTAACAGGTGACTCATTCTTTTTTGTTGCCTGACCAGCATTTCCACTGGTAAGTGGCAACAACCCGTAGATATCTTATGTAAAGTATAGGTGACATTAACTTGTAGACAGATATCTTATGTAAAGTTTCAGTCCGATCCACAAAGGTAGACTCATGTGCCACGTTTTTTACATTAGCAATGCCTGAAATGTTAATCTAAAACGCCTGGGTTTTGCAGGCTGGCTTGGTTCCTGACATTTCATAGACTGTTATACTTTGTATTATTATTTCACATAAAGTTTCATGACCAGTAAGCCTATCTAGCATCTGATTACTGCCTGCAGCACGCTCTGCCTGGCAACGTGGGTTGGGTTTGCCGACCCTAGGCCCGGGTGCCTCTGTTCTCTCTCACAGCGATGCTGTAGCGCAGGCACGCCAGCGTGTGCCAGACAAGGTGGGTTGGCTTTGCTGATCCTGCCGGTTGGTCCTGGAATATTTTCCCCGCCTGAGGTGAGGCTGGCACACCTGCTGCTCTGTGTGCTCTCCCCAGGGGCTGCAGGACAGCTGGCATCCCGAAACCCAAGGCGAGCGCTCCCCGATGTGAGCCAGGGTGCAGGCACGTACCGTTGATTTCTCTCCCCCCTCCTTCGCCTGCCTCCCCTGGCATAACTAAACCACCTCTCATCCTGCTCTATTCTGCAGAGCTAATCACAGCACGTGCTGAAGCACTTTGCATCCCCAAAAAGCATATTATTCTAATGCTTCCTCCATATACCACATTTTGAGTTCCAAGTATTTGCCTCGTTGGCAGCTTTTTGGTTAACTAGCTGATTCCATTAATAATGAGCTATGTGAAACACTTAGAAATAATTGGAGAATAAGAATGTTATGCAAGTCTCCCGGAAGGGAGGGAGGGAAAAAAAAAAAAGAAAAGCACTATCCAGTATATGTATAGGTTTTCACCCGTGTCCTCACTTGCCCTGTCTGTTCCTCAGGGATTATGGGATAGTGACTTTATGATGACCCTGTTAGCATAAAGTTGCACATATACCTAAGTCATCATTTGATGACCAAGATACTAAGGCTTGTGCTAGGTCTGTTCTTCACACTGCCTGAAGCCATCTAAGTGCATTGGCTTTCCCATAATTAAGGCTGTAATACCCACTGATTGGATTCAAGTGTTCACTGAAGAAAAAAAAAAAAAATTAAACTGGTAGCTGCAGACTTCTTAAAGACTCTGGAAATGTTAGGGTTACAAGAATAACATGCATTACAGGTAGACATGAAAAACTGAATGACAGGTAGAAAGATAAACCATAAAAGAAAAGTTAAGACTTGAGTATTTCCACATGTTAAGGTGTTCAGAAGGCTTCATTCTTATTGATGCTCTATTTCTTCCTTGTAAAACCTATGCTTTTATATTTATTTTTTAAATCCTTAGCTTCTCAGTAATACAACTTTAACACCAAACATGTTTTGTAGGTATTTCAAAGTTTTACTGTTTTGGAGAAAAAGTTTCCTGCGTTTGCAATCACCTACTTGCTTAGCATGCACTGGGAGCCGCGGAGGCTGCAGAACTGAGGATATGGCTGAATCCTCAATGCACACTCCCATCCAGCACCTTTTAGTTCATCCTCTTTAAATACAGAGGGATGGGGTGGGTGGATGTGTGTGTGTGTCTTTTTTTGCTGCATTTTGCTGCCCAGTGATGTTACTTGGCGTAGCTGCTTTAGGAGAGGTGAAGGAAAGGCGACCAGAGTCAGGCTTTTGTTCTTTGGCTAGAGCAGCGTTTCAGGTCAGCGCGCCGGGCTGTGTTTGTGCTTGTGCATTCAGCCTCTTCCCTGTATTAACCCCAGAAGCCTTAATATACCTTGGGGTGGGGAAGAAGTTTTTCTTCTCAAAATAGTTATAATCAGACATAGTTTATACGGGTTTAAGGAAGCATTACACTAATGCTTTAAGCATGCAAGACTGAACTGCAATCATATACAGCCTTAAGCATGACAGGCTGCATGAAAAATTGTAATTCTTTAAAAAGCTTTCCAACCAGAGGGTGATCCTGCCTGGATCTGATAAATGGACTCAACAGTTCCCACAAATTCAGCCTGCCATAAGCAGGACTAAGCTGTCTCTCATGACCCCAAATCTGGTACTGTACCAGCGTTGCTGAAAGCAGCATGCCGTGTTTTACATCTGCCCTGCCAAGCGCTGGGGGCTGCCGAAAAGAAGCCAGGGGCAAGATATTTTTCTCCTTTTTGATGCCAGCTCTTGCAACTCTGGGGCTTTTTCTGTAAGGCCTCAGTCCTTGCAGCTTTATAAATAACTTCTAGCTGTGACATCTAAAGAAAAATGCAATCTGCCCATCCTCACTCCTCAAGCCCTATCACCTTCCACTCCCCTTAAAAAACTCACTGAAAACTCAAGTAGCCCTGAAGTCAATACAAACACATTAAAAAAACCCCCACATTATGAGGTAAAGTGGTGAATATTGGATGCTTGCCACTAGTAAACCATTTTGTCTTTCCAGCTTCAGACTGTGCCTCTTCCTCTTTCTTTGAGGGTAAAGCTTCCCAGGGTTTCTAAAGGTCTCTAGTGACCTTTTCTGGACTTGGCCGGCTTTTTCAGCAGGGAGCACTTCTGTTGCTATGGCAGTGGGAGCCAGGGCCCCTGCTCCAGTTGAAAGGTTTGGGGACTTTCTTCTGAGGCATCGCTGCTACAAGACAGCAATTAGATGAAGCTTTCAGGTATCGCAAGGATATATATATATATATATATATATATATATATATATATGCGCTGCCTGGGTTATCTGACACAGCATCCTCAGCATCCTTTGCTGCACATAGGTAGCTATGTGGTTTATGGAGTAAATTACTTTTTTGTGAATTTGGTACCTCCAAAGGTCCATTTTGGGAGCGCTTGTACAGTTAACTTCACTGCGGCCTGAGAGCATGTGCTTCAGCAGGGAGGGTGGTAGCACAACCCGCACAGGGAGTTAGATCCTGTTGGAGATAAGCCAAATGCCAATAGACATTCTCCTTATAAACTGTATTTCATTAAGAAGCAGTGGAGTCCTTGCCCAAACCATGTGAGGGGCTGCAGTTCACAGTCAGACTCACAAACTGCCCGGCACCATGGAGCCCAAAGTGCCTTTGCTGGGGTTTGGCTTTACTGATGGGAACGTCTCTATGCAAGTAAGCTCATATTTGGTCCTTGCACACAGCTGTTGCCATTACAATCAATAAAGCTTAAAGAAAGGCCCGCAATACAGTTTTGGGACCAGAAGCACGCCTAGGACAGCGGCACAGAACTCCCTTGTGCCAGTTCACTCTGATCACAAGATCACAAGCCCGACCAAGATACTGGGAGCCTGCCCGCAGGCTATGACTCAACTGGGATCTTCCTATTCTTTCTTACTCCCTGCCATTTCCTCCCCTCACTTGTCATTATCTCTGCATGATCTTTGGAAAAGTAAATGCCATGGGGACCATCTGATCAATGAAAAAATGATTTTTTTTTTTTTTTTTTTTTTGAGAACCAGAGAGAAAGAAGACTAAGATCCCTTCTTAATTAAAATGTTCCTGTTTGGTGTATGGCCTCAGACCACTAAACTACACTAAACTAACAAAGAGGTTAGATTTTCTACCTTGCTTAAAAGCAGAACACTTACGAGCTTATGTTAGTCCTCTCCAGAAAAGCAAATAAATACTATGATCTATTAAACAAAACAAAAATTCTAAAAAACTCCACCAGAAACTAAACATGCCTTACATGCCATATGCTATAAAAACTCAGATCTAAATCACTACTGCTTTTGTAAGAATATAAAGTCAAAGATACCAACCATTCAAAATCTAATCCTTCTCCTTAAAAAAAAAAAAAAATACTTAGCACACAAATGAAAACCTTAGTTAAAAACAAAGCTGTAAGCTTTAAATGTATACACATACTGGTAAAAAAATAGTCTCAAACTGCTGATAAATTGTCTGTAAATTGCTGCTCTTCTGGGTAAATATTTTATGATATACTGTTGTCTATTCATCTGAAATGCAAACTGCTTTCTTTATTACTGATATAACACTTATGATTTTTTTTTTTTTAAAAATGAGCTGCCGTGTTTGCATATGTGCTCAGACACCAAGTGAAGAATATTGTGGCAGGCAAATAATAGAAAAAAAGTTTAGTTTGCCCTGCTTCTAACATGTGCTTTAGAAGGGACTTCACCCTAAATTTACTTTGATGGAAGTAAATTTCCCTCTCAGGGGAACTGAAAAATGTTACAGACCTTATTCACGGCTAGACTTTCTTTAATTTCATCATATATGCATTCCCAAGAATCACCACAGCTTTAGCTTTTTAAGAGTAAGACAGCTGAAGATTATGTCAGTAATGGGTCAGATGAAAGACTGATACAGGAGACAGATATTTTTGCATGGAACAAAAGTTCAGCAACAGCCCTAGTACCACAAGTAGCTAGCACAAAGGACGTGAAATTTCTGGGTTTTGTTTTTCATTTACTGTAAGTTGGAATGTGATAGCTCCTAAACTAACACATGCTCTTCTAGTACTTTGAGTTTCTTGTTGCAGAAGCTATGCCAGAAAGAGGGAAGAGGCAGGATGCAGTACTCAAAGCTTTTAACAAAGTATTAAACTCTCTTCTAATTACACATACGCACAAAATTATATGAGGAATGTTAGCTAGCCTGCCACACAGCACCACATTTCACTAGATATTCTACCAGGTAATACGTGTAGAGCTATAGGATGGGAAAAAGGTAGCTTACCTAGGCCATGCCATGCTTCCTATCAGCCTAAGAGACTGCTGGTATTGCCTATACTGCAAAAAAAATGTCTTCTCCTTATCTTACCAGAAACAGCAATGAGCACAGGAATGACACACATAGCACCGGGCATGCTGACAGCCAGGTAGGACGGGGAGCAATGCCATTTTGCCTTTGCTTGGCAAGGCGCACGTTTCACCATCAGCCCTGCCAAGCGGCCAGCAAGCAGATATGCCGGGCCGTAGCTTCTTGAGCTAGAGCCTTGAAAAAGCAGTTTAGAGGTCCTAAAAGGGCAGAGGCGCACATCTTCGTTTTGTAGCATGCTGCTTAGAGGAAATAAATTTAAACCAGTAAATGCAGCTTGACATAAACTTTTATAGTCCCAAGTCCGTGGTTATTTTCAGACCCGTGTGCCAGTCAGTCAGTGTCTCTTGCTGTTACCACATTCATAAGCTCTCAGTAGCAAAAGCATCTGCATTCTCAGTGGACCACATTGCAATTTTGTCACACTTTCCCTTCCCATCCGAGCCGCTATTTCAGAAACAGTTAAATAGACAGTTATTGCTCTCAGGTCTAAGCAACAACTGCAAATGACTTCATGAGTTCCTCCATGGTACTGACGTTTGACTTGCCAACATCAAATAGTTCACTCACTGACCTGATTTTGGGTTGGTGTGGTCTCCTTTCAGTTGCGTGTCCCAGTGCTCAGAGAGTCAGGGTTATATTTTCTTAGAAGGATGCAAATAGAGGCTTCTTGGCATGAAGGTGGTGGAGCCATAGCTGGTCACTAATCAGGAGGTAAAGCCAGGAGCCCCTGAAGCAAAACAGCTCAAAAAAAATTCACTGACAGTGAATTCGTAAAGGCTTTATATAACCTATATGGTCTGTTGCTGTATGGGATTGCTTAGGTGGCAGCAGTTCCTCCTGACTGCATCCTCCTGTGCTGGTGGTGCTGCTGGTGCCAGCACGGACCCTCCTGAGTCACCTGAAGTGCGTGGGGTGGCCTAAGGACACACTCTGGGGGGACGCCCACCGATGACTGGCTTCCTGCCCTCAATGTGGGCTCTGGGAAGTGCCAAGAAGACAAGGATAACCAAGCAATCCAGACACAGTGCCCATATTCTTGTCTAGTTCAGGAGGTAGCTACTCGTTGGCACAGGGCTGCAAGTTATTAGCTTGCAAGGTACTACTGTTGGGGTTAGTCCCTGGCTGTGCTATCCCAGCTCCTCCCAATTGTCTGTCTGACTGCCTGCCAGGAGCTCCTTTCCCTCTACTTGCCAGTTTTGCTTTCCCCTGCCAGAAAGAAAGTTTACCCTGGCATTTCTTTAAAGTAGAAGCTTATTAGTTCTAAATCAGGAGACACGTTCAACTAAGACAGTGGTGATGTCACTTAATCACTTAGGCAGAAGAAAAAAAAAATATTAAAAACAAAATTCCTGATTTTTCATCCCCCACCCCATCTCAAAAGCCCCCCAAAAAATCTAGTTAGAATAATCCAAATGCATACACCCCACCACTCTTCTCTGCATCTACCCCCTAAGGCCTCCAGTGGAAAAGGTCACTACAACCCACCTTCAAAACCAAGGAGGAGACCCTTCTGCTGAGCAGGAGTGCACAAATACGTCTCCTTCCCACCCGTCTGGGTCAGATTGTTGACCAGAGCTCGTAACATTACCAGCTGGGCAGACAGGCAACTCGTCTCTGACCGGTGCAGGGAATTACCCGTCAGAGAAGCAGGGATGTAAGTGCCACCGTTGAGCCACCAGGCAGCTAACGCACAGAGCTGGTGCTCTCACAGGCCGTCCATGGTGGAAATTCAGGCCGCGGGTGGCTGCACTCCACAAGTGCTTCTGAACGCTGCTGCTCCCGTGGAGCTGCATCTGCAGGCTGAGGGCTTGCAGCTGCTGCTGGCCTCCTCTGCCAGGGCAGACCCCTCCAGCAGAAGGAGCTGCCCAGCCATGAGGATCACAAACCACCTTCCCCCTTCCCCATCCACGGGCATCATCGCAGGGGAGGGAAGGAGGCGAGGACTAGGAGCCAGTCTTGGACGTTCTTCTGCTTCCAGACTGGCAGGAATACGTGCGGCAACATCTCAGCCTTGAAGTAAGAGAAGGGTCAAAGTAGAAACCCACTTAGCCTCGTTGTCCCTCTTCCCATGCCGAAATACTTTGTTCTGAGTTGATAAACGTGCACCAGTAACAACTGTCCATCACTGGTTGCAGGGACAAGCCGCTCATTTCAGAAGATACAGTCCAATCAACTTCCTTTTTCTTCCTGCTCCAAGTCTTATTACTCTCCTAATATGTCCTTACCTGCAAAAGCTCTTTAAAGCTTTTTTCCTTGAAGGTTTGCATCTGATGTTATCAGAGGTAATTAGCTAACTGATACACAATTCACATAAGGTGCTCTGGTTTCTTTATACACAGTGCTTTCCCCAGGCTGCAAATTTTAAATGATGTAAATGGGAGAATCCTCTGCTGTTTTACTGTTTAACTTTAGGCTATGTTAAAACTAATGCCTAATTGTTTTTGATGTACCTAAAGCACTTTATTGTTCTTCTAATAATAATTTTTCTTTGTTCTTAGTTGTTCCCTTGCCAAGGGTAGTGCCTGTAATGTTAATGACTCTAGCCTCGTTAGGGACTTGATAGGGGTTTTTGTTATTCATAGAATCACCCTCACTTGTATTTTGTTTTGTTGTGATAATCACCATTTCAGTTTATCATAATTTTGGAAAGGTATTTACCAAGGTTTATTCAGTAGAACTGCCTATAAGGAATTAGTCCCAAACAGTTTAGGTGGAAAGTTTAGGTAGAAAATAACAGGTTTTCTTTTTTTTTCCAGCTGGGGATATCTTCAGCTTGCATTTAACTACAGCACCCTTTTAAACTCTCTAGACAAGGAGCAGCCACATATTTTCAGTGCATGCTTATAGTTCTCTTATTTTTGCTACTTCTGATGTTCAGAGGTCTTCAAAAGCAATGTTCACTTTAACTGTTCCCTCAGAAAGCTGCCTGAATAAATAAAAATTAGATTGTGTCCTGTTAAATCCTACCACAACTCTGCCATATGTGGTGGATCTCAGGAATGAATATCACCAACTAATTTAGATTATAAAGTTTTAGGGTAGAGGTACATCACTGAAGAACCGAAATGTATGGGTATGCATAAAATTAGGTTATAGGGCTTAAAGTAAAGAGATGCAAATAAAAAAGGAAAAATCATTCCTTTAAAGATGAATAATAGGTAATAAGCAGCTCTTCCTTTCCTAGTCTTTGAAGATGGTTGACTGACTCTGGCTGTGGGAACGGCGAGCAGCCGTACAGCTCTGGGCAGCCCTGCAGCTGGTTGGGCTTGTCCGGTCCTTCACCCACTCGACACAGCAAGTTATTTTAGCAACAGTAGATGTACAACAAATTGAAACGTTAATACTGTAACTTCTGAGAGGTATTTATTCATTCAGATCATGGTGTTATTTTTTTTTTTTTAAACTGTACTTCAGCAATCTTTTACTTTGTATTCCATAACGTAATACATCCAAATATAAAATAGGACAGGTGTACAATTTTTATTCCATAGTTCAGCTTCTTAATTACAGTCTAGTAATTTACAGGCATGTGCTCTCTGTAAATCCTTTAATCAGGTCTTGAAAACATTATTTTAATGCATCAGTAAGTTGGTCAAAGCTTCTATAGCTGTTGTTCAATAACAACTAAGCCAACTATCTCATACTAGTCAGCACAGAAGTGTATCTTTCCCTTTTATTTATTATAATGTATATATTACTAATTGTAGTCTATGGTATAATACTTCAAATGCACACACCTGAAAATATTTTCTCCGTTTGTTCAGAGAGCTATATTTCCTAAATTACAATAACCAAAGAATTTGACCTTGATTCCCAGAAAATTAGACAACTCCGTCTTACTTGTTGACTGAGCTCTACCAGCTCCCTATCAGTCCATCTCATCGCTAGCTGCCTTGCCTACCAGCACACTGGATAGGGATTATACAAAGTTGTCTCTAGCTCGTCTTGGCCCTTTAAAAATAGTTTATAATAGTTGAATTGTCAGGGAATATTTTGTCCTGAATGTTGTTTAACAGCAAGTGAAGGCTGTAATTCCAGACTCTCAGAAAAGTGAGAGAAATGGATATTTTGCAGGATACCTGCAGGAAATGGTGTTTCTTCACAGAGATGCCTGGAAAACACTCTGACCATCAGAAAGGCTAGCTGAGAAACAGAAGCATCTCAGAGGCTCAGAAGGGACCACAAATTTCTATTTTGCCACCTAATGCTTGGTAAAAGCTGTGTGTGTTCATGTGGACTGGACTGTTGTGAAGCGTTAAGAAATGCACAAAGGTCCAGATCTTCTGAAGAACTGGTCAATACTAAGGTACTTTGGCCAACAGAGCTTGAAGTGTAAAACTGCAGGTGAGGCCAAAGTCAGAAGGAGCATGCCCCTTGCAGGGAGAGCAACTGTGGAGGAAGACTCCCAACCCCCAAAATCTGGTCTAAGCAGCCACGGTGCAGACTTGTATGGAAAACCGGCAGCAGAGCCTTGATGAAGCATCAGTACCTTTCCAGGTGTAGATTACCATGAAATGTTTAGATCTAGAGCAGTAGCTGTAATTTGGAGGCTGACATGACAAGAATAAAGGAAAACAAACTTTAGGGGGGCTTAGTTTTCTTCGATACAAAATTCTTCTTCCTTGGCTGGCAATCCTTTTAACAGTGCATTTGTACAGCCTTCACGCCGGTATTCTGATTTCCTAGGAACTCATTTAGTGAATTTAGTACAACAATTTAGCACAATCCACGTGTTCTGATTACAAATGAATGACTCTGGAGGTGTATGAAAACAATTAGGAAACAAATGAAAGGGTTCTCTGCTAGTAAAAAATGGATGACATTTTACTGCCATCTCTGCAAATGTAGCTTTGATAATGAGAATCATGGGGACATCTTTTTATAGATATTAACTTTGCTGACATATTGGGGAATAAACTTGAGCCCTGTACAGCTGAAAGCAAGAGCTGCTGCATGTTGGACAATCTCTCTCTTTTTTGGGTTTTGCAAAAAATCACCCCTCTGACTCTCTGCATCTTGACTAGAGATCTTGACCTGTATCATGCATTCATCAGAGATTACACATCCATTTCAGATTTGAAACAATGTCCTCGGTTAAAGCTGTTAAAACCCCTTGGTGGCTTATACAAACCCCATTTTAATATAATTCTAACTCAGCTTTTTGTATCTATGTTAGCTCAGTAAGGAGATTCACAAGTTAAAAACCTGCTTGCCAAGGTTAAGTTCAGCCACTTCCAAACATTCGTAAGAAGTATATCCCCTGAATAAGATGCTTCTGTTCTTACATATTCCCCTCTTTACCTAGCACTGAATTTTGAAGATGGGTAAGAAGGTAGATGACCAATGCAATTTTCTCCCTCAAAGACGTTTGTCTGTCTGTGCTATGAGCTATAAATCTTCCACAGACAAAATCTGTAGTGAGACTGATCCCAAAGGACAGAACTTCCTCCTTCTCCTCAGGTGTCTTTCTCCTCCACACCCCTCTGCTAGCACAAGCTGCAGCAAGCAAAGTACCGGAGGCAGAAGGGCTTGTGGTTCTGCCAAGTCAAATCAAAGCAGACTTAGTCACTCCTATCGCAAGGAAGGGATCTGCAACAGCAGAAACACCTCTGTGCAAACCAGAAAGGAGGGAAGAAAGAGCACCAGCATTCTGGCAGAATCCTGTAGATGGGGAGGCAGCAGAAGGGAAGAAACACCAAATAGGAAAAAGACTAAAGAAAATAACTAAAATAGATAAAAAGAGGTAAATGTTGCAAAAAGCTATGAAGGCAGAGCCACACTGTTTTTTTAAGAGCTGTATGTGAAGTCTAAAGAGAAACATGTGTTGTCTTTATCTACATAGGGAGTA